CCTTGAGGACAGAGACGGGGGAGGTCATCTGAGTCTTCACACAGCCACTATAAGACACTCATTCATTCACTCACTCATTCATTCCATAGATTGTTACTGAGTACAAACCCCTCTGAGCCTCAGGCCCCGCCTCTGCAAAATGGGAACATCGTCTGCAGTGGAGCACCCAAGCACAGGAAAGAGAGCCACATGTGTAATTTTAAATCTCCCAGTAGCTACAGTTAAAGGCAGAAAAAGTGCCTGGCTGGTGTGGCTCAGTGGTTGAGCATCGACTCGTGCACCAAGAGGTCGCCAGTTTGATTCCCGGTCCAGGCACCTGCCCAGGTTGTGGGCCGGATCCTCAGTGGAGGGCACGCAGGAGGCGGCCAATCGATGTTCTCTCTCATCGATGTTTCCATCTCTCTCTCCCTCTCCTTTCCTCTCTCTCTCTCGAATCAATAAAGAAAAAAATAAAATAAAGGCATAAAAAGTAACAGGTGAAATGAATTTTAATAACATACCTTTTAACCCAATCCTTCCACAATATTATCATCTGAGCCTGTAATCAGTGTCAAGTGATGAATGAGATGTTTTACATGCTCCCTACCAGGTCCTAGAAAACCCTTCGGGCACATCTCCCTGCAGACGAGCCGCACATCTGGCGCTCGGCAGCCCCGCCTGGCCACCGCGCTGGACAGCAGGCTCCAGCCGGGAAGGCCCTGGAGAGGCGGGACTGCAGGGGCGTAGCAGCCTCCAGCGCTCCAGTTCCCAGCCGTGGCGGGAACAGGTGCAGGTGTGAGGGTCCCGGCCCCTTCCTTCCCTAGGCCTGCAGAGCCTCCACTTCCCCCTGCATGTCCAGGAGCTGGGGCCCCTCGGGGGTGCCCCGAGAAGAGGCATTGCTGGCTTTCCGGGAAGAAGCAGGAGGAGGAGGGGGAGAGCAGGCCTCGAGGAGGGAGCTGCCGCCTGGCACGGGGACAGAGTTTGTTTGCACCTCTTTGAAGCCGGGAGATGAAAGCAGGGCCCACATGGCTGCCTTTGATTCTCTCCACCCTGGGCCCCACGCAGCTGCAACCCGGCCAGGCCCAGCCCTCGGCTGCCCCAGGGGGAGCAGACAGGCCCCGGCCAAGGGTGTTTCTCCCCTGGGTGGCTTGAAGGATCAGCAGAGGAAACACCCTCTGTCCTGGGGGACCTGCCCTCCCACAGACCCACCCAAAAAGGGACAGTGACAGCCTCCCTCAAGAAAAGGGAGGGGTGTGGGGGAACCTGCCGCCCGGATCTCCCTGCCGCCTGCACCTGAGCACCCGCCATCCATCCGAGGTTGGCCCTGAGAGATAAACAGAGCAGCCTGGCCGGTTTGGTTCAGCGGTTAGAGCATCAGCCCGCGGACCAAAGAGTCGTGGGTTCGAGTCCAGTCAAGGGCACATACCTTGGTTGCGGTTCGATCCCCGGCCCTGGTCGGGGTTGTACAGGAGACAGCCAATTGCTGTGTCTCTCTCACATCGATGCCCGCCCCCCGTCTGAAGATAAATGGGGGATTTTTTTTCAAAAGGGAATAAACACAGTATGTGAGCATGATGGTTGAGAGGCGAATGAGTCACTTCACCTCTCTGAGCCTCTTTAATTACACAAATGTTTACTGAGGGCCTACTGTGTGCCCGTCACTGTCCTGAGTGCCCTCCTAGACGTGCTCAGTGCTGTGACTGGCACATCGGAACGCTCAGTGCCCACCACCCAGCGGCAGCACGACTGCTAAGCCCGGCACGGTCTCTCAACACTCCCGGCACCCAGGCAGGACAGCCAGCTGCTGGACAGTGTCCCCTCCCCACCGCCGGACCTGTGCTCGACCTGAGCTCTGCTTCCTCCTCTCTCCTAGGTCCCCTGGGAGCAGCCACTGGCAGGGGGCAGGCAGGACCACTGACCTTGACCGCTGACCTCTGTGGCCTAAGAATGGCAGCCCAGACCAGAGGTAACATGCTCTGGGAACCCCCGGCCATAATGGAGGCGAAGTCACACCTGGGACCCTGGCAGACCCTCTTCAAGCAACTGGAGGCCACGGGGCAGAAGGACAGCTTTGGAAGGGTCAGGGCACCTGCGGTACCAGGGACGTGGCCTCTGCCATCCAGACCCGAGTTGTCCTGGGCAGCATGAGCTGGGCGTCCTAGGCCCTAACCCTTGTCCAAACAGCCGCTGAGTCTGCCAGCCACCCCACTTCTAAGGGAGAATCCCCTTCATCCTCCTTGCACACACACTGCTAATTCCACCGCACACTGCTCAGCACACGGGAGGGGGTCTGTGGGCCCTCAAGGCCATGCCCTTCACTCCTGGTCCTCTCCTATGGCTATCTTGCTGCCTCTCCTGGGTCAGGGGGGGCGGTGGAGGTGGAGGAGCCGCGGCTAGAGACGAGCAAGGCGGCTAAAAACCAGGTCCAAGTGCTCATGGACGACCAGTGGGCGCGCAGAGGTGCAAACACACACGCCAGCTGTGTCTGACCCTTGAGTGTGGTCACCCCCATTTCACAGATCGGGAGCTCAAGGCTCTCCCACAATCACACTTAGGACAGAGGGCAGGATTTGGACGCAGGTCTGACGAATTCCAAAGTCTGTGTTCTTCCCACTCAACCACACTGCCAAGGAATGCACCCGCTCCTAGGTGTGCTCCGAGCGGCCCCAAGCGGCTCTTCCAAAGCCTGACTCCAGGGACAAGAGCCGCCCTGAAGCCAGATGCTTATGCCACCGGCTTTGACACACTGAGGGGCCGGAATGTCCCCCACCCTTGTGACCTCAGGCAGGTCACCTCACCTCCAGACCTTAGTCTCTGTCCCCGGGAAAGGGTCACAGAACACAGGGTTTCCTGGAGTCTGCAGGGCAATTGTCGGTGGTACGTAGCCTTTCCTTTTTATTTTAGCAGTTTAGATTCATTCCCTGGTGTATGAGAACAGATAGACGTAACTATCAGATCAAACTCACAGTATCCCGGATATTTTTGCTCGGCTGAATCACTGCATTGCCTTGAGGGATAGCACTAAGTCAGTCAAACACCGGCGGCTGGAGGGGATGGCACACCAGCCTGCCCATGTCTGGGAAGCCTGAGCTGGTGCAATGACCCGCAGCAACTAGAAAGGTCCCAGGTGGTTAGGGTGCCCTGACCTCTGGCTGTGGCAGACCCCATGAGGCCTGGACAGGAAAGAAGGAAGCAGGCAGGAGTGGGGAAGAGGGAGAGAGGCAAGTGGAGCTCCAGGACTCACCCAGACGGCCGGCGGCCTCATCCACCGGGGCCTGGAGGCCACACGGCCACCCCCACCCCGTGCACCCACAGCTGGCAGATGTAAAACACACATGTTCCGACTGAAGCCGCTCCCCCAACCTCCTGAAAAACGCCAACATTAAAGGGAGCGTAGCTTTGTAAAACTGAAACTGTAAAATGCTTCTGAAACCCAGCCCCGGGGATTAAAGAAACCACATGAAAAGGGACTTGGGACGACCTGGATGCTGACTTCCTGTTCAGAAGTTCGCTCACCATGTGCCTCCCACCCGGGCTGGTGGCTCGGAGCAAGGAGAGGGGTGGAGGGAGGGAGGCCGGGCCAGGGGGTTTCGGGGGCCTACAGAAATCCAGAGCTCACCACGGCCCACGGCTGGACAACCACGCCGTGGCCCGCCCAGGCCGCTGACCTCCCAGGGCTCTGAGGAGAAGGTACCATGTTGCCCTTGGCCTTGGGACCCACCATGTAGTCACAGAGGGGTTGGGAACAAAAGAGACCACAGCCACCCACCATTCACTTCCTGGCCTCTGCCAGCCTCCCCTGCTGCTCCCAACGTGGTCCTTGCGGAGATTTGGGAAGTGCTGGGACCCCAGCTCGGCCTCCTGTCCAGTTGTGTGGTTAAAAGGCTCCCCAGACACAGGAGCCGACTGTGGTTCAAACCCCAGCCCCGCCACTCATTCGCTGAGGGACACTCAAGAAGCTGCCATCAGAAGCTCCCCACCTTCTCCCTCCTGTCACCGCGTGTGCAAGGAGGCTGTGACCGAGAGAGTGCAAAGGAGCTTCTTCCAAAGCCGGGGACCAGAGTCCCCCCTTGGTCTCCCTCTTGCTACATAGCCTTGGGCAAGTCACAGGCTCTCTCTGACCATCACCCTTGGACAGAGGATAAGATGGGCTGGGTCGGAGGTGAAGCCAGTCTATGGCCACTTGTGCGCGTGCACACACACACACACACACACACACAAACACACACATGTCATCTACACTCACCACCCCCCTTCACACACATCATACAGAGACAGACCCACACACATCACAGGCCACTTGGGGACCGCCACCACGCCAGCTTCATTACAGCCCTCCCTCCTTTACATAAACTCCCCGTGCCCTCCAGTGTCCCCCGAAATCACTTACCTAATATTAGGATATTAAAAAATATGGCAAGATTTTAAGAGACTTATTAAAATGCAATTAGCAGCACGTACGACTTAAGCAGGGAGATTATTTTTAAAAATGACTTGATTGTGCGGAATACCACGCACCTTCCAAGGCCGTAAACCTGCCAATCACCCACGTGCTCAAATGAGGCGCTTTCTTCCTTTTCTCTTTGTCCTTCAGGACTTTCTCCTGCTCCCAGTGACCATGAAGGTCCCCCACCCACAAAAACGACCGCCCACACACGTACACGCTGAGCCCCTGGAGGAGCCCTTCAGAAGGAAGCCAGGGGGTCAATCGGGTCCAAAAGCCTAGAGGATTTTCCGGAGAAACCGGCCAGAGGGTAGGCAAAGGGATGGAGAAGCCCTCCCCCACGTGCCCCCTGCCCCCCACCCACATTAAGATTTGGATCTACAGAGGTTGCAGCCAAGAGTGAGGATGACTGTCCTTGCTGCGGAGGGGCTGGGGGTGCGAAGGGCTCAAGGGCGAAGGAAGAGGTCCCAGTGTGTGGGTTACTGCTGACCCCCTCTGAGTGCTGAGCCTCAGAACTCCCCTTCCTGCTCCCCCCAGCACCCCCGCAGCGCCCACTCGCTTGGGCTGGAACGGTGGGTTATGCTGCCCCCTGCTGCCCACTCTCCTCACTGCAGCCCCGCTCCTGGGACCCGGTGGCCCGGCGAGGCGCTCGCTTGGTCCCGGGGTAGCCCTCCACTAGCTATGGGGTGCACGAGAAGGACCCCAGGATTTCCAGGCTCTAACCTGAAGAAAAACACGCATGTGGAAACGTGGGGAGCGCTCTCCCCCCACCCCCTGCAAGGCAGCCCCACCCCGGGCTGAAGGAGTTTATCAAATGTGTTCTCTACTTCCTGGCATTAGGCTCCCGCTGGCGCTTTTATTCCAACCATAAAAAGGCTATTTCATTGAGAAATAAAGTCCCGTCTCCCTGATGTGCAACTCCTTTCAGAGCTCTTACTCAGCCACCGGGCAAAATTTATGTTTCCTGGATGCTGTCTCCGGGGATTGCGACTGGAAATTGGGGAGAGGGAGCTGGAGGGGGGATTTCCTTTCTGGCCGATCGACGTGTGTTAATGCCTCTGGGTTAAGGAGCCCCAGAAACCCCCGGTGTCCAGGAGGAACCCTCACCTTGGGATGAGGAGACTAGGGTTTGAACCCTGGTTTTGCCCTCTTCACGCCTCAGTTTCCCCATCTGTAAATTGGGCAGAACTCTTCCTCGCTTCCCCAGAGAGATGGTGCCAGCTCTGGAGGGCAGCTGGAGCTGGGAAGGACCGGGAAGCTGTCCAGGGTTGCTATCGTGAGGGAGGCAGAGGGTTCTGTGACTCGGGGTGGGGGGCTGTCCCTGGCACAGATTCTCGCAGAACTTCAACTTTCACGTGTATCACGATCACCTGGAGGGCTTGTTGCAGCAGATTGCTGGGCCCCGCCCCCTGAGTTTCTGAGTAGTAGGTTTCGGGTAGCGCTCAAGAATTTGCCTTTCTCACGAGTTCCCAGGTGGTGCTGTTGCTGCTGGTCCGGGGATCCTACTTTGAGGACCACTGTTCTTAGGGCTTTGAGGTCTGGGACACGGGACAGCTCATCCTGGGCTTTGGGAGAGGAACGAGGAGCGAGGGGAGGTCACCTGTGGAGCAAGGTCAGGTGGGCTCTGGCTGGCTACATGGGAACAAGCATCTGTTCATGTCATCCTGTCTTGCTCCCCCCGCCCCCCGCCCCGTGGCTTGGCCTGATGTCTCTGGCAGCCTACACTCCCAGAGACCAAAGCAGCAGAGGTGTCAAGAGATGGGCTGAGCCCGGCCGGCGTGGCTCAGTGGTTGAACGTCGACCCATGCAACAAGAGGTCGCCGGTTCAATTCCCGGTCAGGGCACATGCCCAGGTTGTGGGCCAAATCTCCAGCGGGGGGCATGTGGGAGGCAGCGATCGATGTTCTCGCTCATCGATGTTTCTATCTCTTTCTCCCTCTCCCTTCTTCTCTCTCTAAAACCAATTTAAACAAAAAAAATTTTTTTAAAGAGTTGGGCTGAGATGGGGTGGGGGTGGATGCTCACGGGTGAGGGGTTCTCACAGCATTGGAGGCTCTCGACTTACCACCTTCATAGGATGGGCTCCCACGTTCTCGCAGAGCAGAGGTGGCCTGGCCATTGGTTCCTGTTTCTAAACTGCCTCATGCTGAAACACAGGCTCAGGGAAGTGAACTGACTGGCTCAAGGTCACACCGCTCGGGCAGGTCACTCAGGAGAAAGCTCTTCCCACCACGACCCCTCTGGTGATGCAATCATTTGGAGTATTACTAAGTTGATGACTCCGATCAGGTTTCAGTAATATTCAAATAGCCAACGGGGACTTGCAGCTAAGGCAAGAGGAGCATGTCGCAATGGAAGAATTCCGCCCTGGGCAGCACCTAAAATCTGGGGATTCGAGACCTTCCACAAGGGGAGAGCAATGAGCCTGGATGGTGCAGGGCATGGAAACCGGCTGTGTGCTCAGAGGAAAACCCAAACGGGAAATGGGCCACTGGCTGCTCCGGGTAACGAGAGAGAAGGATGATAAATGCATCACAGATCCAGGACCTCACACAGAGTCGGAGGGAGAAAAGATGAGGATCCAAGCTGCCGGAGGTGTGGAACCACCGAGGTCTAAGCACCCACAGCCCAGGTAGCCTCAGACCCACGCAGAAGGGACGGGGAGAGCCGCTCCCTGTCGGGACTTCTCATTGCCACAAACAAATGACTGCAAGACCTGGAGGTCCCCGAGGCAGGGGAAAATGCTCACACATGTGCACACACGGCCCCGGGATCAGGCACAAGTACCACCCCGGCCCTGGCGGACCTGGAGCCCCGGACCTGTCCCATCTCGAGCAAGGACAGAAGGAGCCCGAGCACCTTCTAATGAACAGCTGTCCCGGTTTGGAGCCGGCGCGGAGCGAGGAAAGGAAGAGAAGCGGTTTGTTCTAGCTGCGCAGACTGGGAAGAATGCCCAGAACAGTTAATGCCCGACCCTCTCAGCCTTGCAAATCGCCGCCCGCCTGGGGGTGAAGAGCCTTTTATGCCAGGTAAAGCCTGGTGATTTCATTAACTCCATCCCCTTTGTCTCGTCTCCAAGAACACAGGGTGGTTAAACATGAGGACAACTTGGTAAAGGGTCAGCCCTGGTTTGTGGGTCTTTCTTGGGGGGGGGGGTGCGCGCCCCTAGTCTAGGAGGCCCCAAAGCTGGGTGGCTCTGCTGGAATAGGGGAAGATGGATGGGGGCAGAAGAGAGACAGACAGAGGCTGCAGGCCAGTGTTGTGGGACGGAGGATGTCACATGTCTCAAGTGTCACCAGCAGCCACCTCCACCGAGCCATCTCGATAGAGGGTAGAGGGGCCCTTTGTGTCCCTTTCCTTCCAGCAGGGCAGGTTGGCCTGTCTCACTCAGGACGTACCTCCATCCCGGTCCCCTTGCTGCTGCTCTTGTCCCTCTGATGTCCACTTTCCAGGCAGCGCTTTAACGCCCGAATAGACTCTGGGCCCCTGCCTTGGCCCCTCAGGCCCACCCTCCCCCCCCACGTCCTCCTGCTCATTCCACCAGCTTCCAAGGCCTCCCACCTTCTTTCTTTCCCCCCAACCCTCCCACTTGCTGTCCCTCGGCCTGAATGCCCCCCAGCTCTTTCCAGGTTTCCCTCCGGAGAGGGGCGCCTTGGCAGCCCCCCCCAAAGCAGCCCGAAGCCACCCCCATCCTGGCAGCGTGTTGGGTGTGTTCAGAGCACTTGGCCTCGCCTGCATGTGTTCATGTGGACCCGTCCCCTTCGCTCACACATGTGCACACTGGAACACTCGCTCCCACAGGGGGGCCTCTGTCCGGCTGTCTTCCCTTCCAGAGCGGGAACACGCCTGGCCCGTGGGCGTGCTCCGTAAACACGTGCCGAGTGATGGGGCCCAGGACACGCACTCGCAAAGGCAGCTGGGACCCAGCCCTCGGCAAGCCCACAGCGGCAGCACTAACCACCTTTCCCCCCAGCCTCTGAACACCTTCCAGCCCCGCAGCCACTGGCCTCTGTGAGCTGACCCAGGCCTAGGGGAGGCCGAGGCCTTCCCTCCCCCAGCCTAGGCCACCAGCCAGGGCTCCAGGGCAGTGGCCAGAGACTTGGGCCTCCTCCTGCTGGCTTCCCCTCTAGGGGTCAGGCTTGCCCTGGCATGGGGGCCGCTGTCCCTGGGCAGAAGCTGCCTGCAGGGGACCTGCCTGGCTGGGGGGACTGGGGGGGGGGGTTGGCCTTGGAGTCACGGCTCCGATTCAAGAAGGGAAATCATCCGAGCTTTTAAAAAATTAAATGGAGTCAGTAATTTGATTTCAGGGAGAAGCTGAAAACCTCGTAATGGCAGGAGCAGCTCAATTCCGTGCTGAAAAGGAAAAGCCTTAAATGGGGCTATTAAGCTTTTGCTGGGATGGATCTGCCTGGAGAAGGAGGAAGGAGGGGGCGGGCAGGGGGGACGTCGTCCTGGAGGTAGAGACCGTTTATCAGCCAAGACAGCCCTGATTATTTATTTATTTATTTGTTCGCAGTCCGGGCGTTGCTGAAGGCCTCTCCTTGGCTGCGGTTCAAGTCCCACTTCCAGCGATGGGTCGACCCGAGCGGGAGGGGTGCCACCCTTCCAGGGAAGCACCGAGTGCCGCTCCGGCTCAGGCCACCGCTGGGCTTCTGGGCCGCGGAGTCTGGGAGCGCTGGCGTACCCCCAGGGGTCCCGGGGTCACCGGAGCTGTCCATGCCAACCGGGTACCAGCTGCTGCCATGGGAACCAGAACCAAGGAGTGGCGAGTCATGGTAACACTTCCGTGCCCCTCCCATGGGGTCCTTGAGAGACCTGGGGTATTGCCCCCGGAGGCCCAGAGAAGGGGTGTCTCACACTTACGGTCTTATCCCCACCACCCCCAGAGACGGCTGAGCTATGGCTTCCCACGTCCTCCGGGACAAGCGAACATCCGCTCCTGGGCCGGGAGCACGGCGGCTCAGCCCCCGGACCACAGCGGTTCTAACCACAAGCTCGGCTCACGGTTCCGAGTGCGCTGCGCCTGAGCACGCACCGAGGCTGGGTGTCCATTTCCTCACTGACCCTCAACAGCCCCGCTGGAGAGGAACTGTGATCTCCCCCCATCTGACTGCTTGGGAGACTCAGGTACAGAGAGGTTAGTGCCTTGCCCAAGGTCACACAGCTGAAGAGTGAAGGGACAGGGACTCGACCTGTCTGGCTGCAGAGCCTGTGCTGCCCCTCCCACATCCCCCCACATTCCCACTGAGTGTGCCTGCACACACACGCTGGGTCACGCACTCACCAGGGAAAACACATCCGGACCCCGCCCACCCCACTCCTCTGAACTTGGGGTCCCTGGGGACCCTTCCACGACTCACCCTGGCAAGGGGACCTCTCAGAAGCCCCTCCACAATATTCTGAAGCTCAGGAGTCTGTGACTTTCAGGGCTGGTTGCCAACGTGGGCTGCGGGCTCCTGCAGGGCAAGGGTCTGCAGGCTCAGGCAGGCTGGCCGAGGACATGTCCCTGGGAGCCCCAGGCTCCACGTCGGCTGGGCATGTGTGCTGCCCCCACCCAGCTGCCCCCCCAGCGAGCTGGCGCTGACTCCAGGCCTTGGCTTCTCTCTGACCCTCCCACAGATGAGGCTGGGGGCTTCCTGGAGGCGGAGGCCAGAGGGCTCTCCTGAAGAGTGCCAGGTGGCCGGCTTTTGCTGGCAGCTGCTCAGTGGTAAGAATGCCGGAGGGTGGGGGCGGGGGGCTGCTGGGCCCACCTTGTGCCTCCCCGTGGTCCTGAGGCCCTGTGATGGGCACAGGGGCCTGGCTGCTGCCACCAAGCCTTGGAGGTATTCACTATAGGACAGTCACTGTGGCATCTGTCCCCAGCACAAGGGTGAGTCCTGGCCCCTCCATGTCTTTATTTGGTTCTGGGATGAAGGTCCAGGGACCCTCTGGCCCCCTGCCCAGGCGGCCCCATTCCCAGGTGGCCCCACGGCCTCCATTACGGAGGATGTTTCCTGAGCTCTCTGATGCCTCCTCAGCGGCTGGACCTCCCTGCTGGCCGGGCCAGGCTCCCTCTGCATGGGCTCAGTTGCAGCCACATCCCCTTGTGACAACACTCCCGGCAGGAGGGGACTTCCTGGTGGCTGTGTAGGGTCCTGCTCAGGCCGTATAGTTCCCAGACCATCAGTTAGGGTGACAGACGGCCTTGAGACTGGGAACACCTCGAGTTGTTCAGACCCCAGACAGGTGGCGGAGAAGGAGCCCTGTGCAGCTGAGGACAATGTGGCTGAAGGCGGGGGTGTCCAGGTCACCCCACTTTCCCCGGGGGAGCCAAGGACCATGCTGATTCTGCAGTGCTCTGGGAAAAAGGGAGACAGATGTCCAGCTTCTTCCCACAGGTTTGGCCATTTGCAGGAATGGCCTGAGCTCCTTCTTCAGCGAGCAAGCAGTGGAGAGAGAAAAAGCATCAGAGGTAAGAAGACAGGGCCTTTGGCCGCCCTGAGGATCATAGTCCAGAGAAAGGCCCGTGGGAGCTGGGACCACTGCCTCGGCCTCCAGGCTTAGCTCCTGGGCTCCATGCCTCAGTTTCCCTCCTTCTGTTTGCATGCACTGACTCTCCCCACCGCCTCCTTTGGCTGGATCTCAAGGTCCCGGGATGCTATGAGCTAGGGAGGACAGCCTGGGGGGCTGCTCTCAGGTAGGAGCCCTGGTGCCCCCCCCCCCGCCGACCCCCCGCTTTATCCGAGGAATATTCTGAATTGGAGGAGGAGAAGACGTGGCCAGATGTCAGAGTAGGGCTCCCTTTGGAGAACGGCGCAGAGAGAGCTCACCGAGGCCTCGCAGGGACGGGCCCTTCAGAAGACACTGCGAGGGGAAGACGGGGCAATGACCTTGTACAGGCCCATCCACTGAAAGGTTGGGAGTGAGCCCTGGCCGGTTTGGCTCAGCGGTTAGAGCGCCGGCCCGCACACCAGAGAGACCCGGGTTCGGTTCCCGCTAAGGGCACGTACCTCGGTTGCAGTTTGGGACTAGGAAGAGGCAGCCGAGGGCACTCCTGTGGGTGGGTCTGGAGGCCGGGGGAGGTGGGCAGAGAGCAGTCTCCGATGTGGCAGTTGAGGCAGGCAGCTCCTCTCCGGCACCTTCCAGGAAGGAAGCAGAGGCCAGCTCTCCTCCTCGGGAGGCAAATCCTCGGACACCCTGCTGGACGGGCCCCACGTGTCCCCTTCTACAGATGGGGAAGCAGAGGTCTGGGAGGCCTGGTTCGAGCGTCCGGGTAGGAGCTGCTTTCGTGGGTACATTTCACGGACCTCCGACCTGCAGCGCTTTCCGAGAACACGTGGGCGTCAGACTCTGGTCCCGAAACGGAATCGCAGAATTTCTGCGAAGAGCACCTGGCACGGACTCGCTGCCCCTGCCTGATGCCACCCACGTTTTTCACCTCTGAGCCGTTCCTAACTGGAGGCCAAACACGTGGGCCCGCCCCAGGAACCACCGAAAGCAGATATCTGGGCCGGAGGGGTCTTGCTGTGCGTGGGAGCGGGCTCCTGTGCACCGTGGGAAGTTTCGCAGCATCCCTGGCCTTACCCACCAGAGGTGGCACCATTCCCCTGAGTTGGGACCATCAGCAATGTCTCCAGACATTGCTACATGTTCCCTGGGAGGCAAAGACACCTCCAGTTGAGGACCGCTAGATTAGAAGTTACCAATTCTGGCTCATGGGTCAAAGGCAGCCCTTCGACATGTTTGGTTTGACCTGCAGAGGGTGTGACTTTTTTTTTTTTTTAAATTCATAGACAAAACTTTATAACCAGCTTCTCCTGGAAAAATCAGACAATTTGGCCACACTGGCCGCCTCCCTACACGGCAGGGATGGGCTCCAGCTAAGGGAGGGTACTGTCTGTATTGGGTCTAGTGGCTGTTAGTTCACTGAAGTCCCCACTGCGCCCTATTGTCTCCTGCACTGAGCGTTCAGCCTTTACCCTCCTACACTTGCGCCATGTGTTTTCTTACCCTCACACATTCATACTCCCTGCCTGACCCCTAGAGGCACTTTTGTCAGTAATCCTGCTTTACAATGCACAACAGCCACCCTGGCCAGTTTGGCTCAGCGGTAGAGTGTCAGCCCGCGGACCAATGAGTCACGGGTTCAATTCTGACCAAGGGCACAGACCTCGGTTGTGGTTTGTTCCCAGCCCTGGTTGGGTTGTGTGGGAGGCAGCCAATCATTGTGTCCCTCTTACATTGATCTCTCTCTCCCCTCCCCCCCTCCCACTCTATCTAAAGATAAATAGGAAAATATCCTTGGGTGAGGATTTAAAAAAAAAAAAATTAAAATGCACAATAGCCCTGACCCATTTGGCTCAGAGGTTGGAGAGCCAGCTCGCAGACCAAAGAGTCTCGGGTTTGATTCCGGTCAAGGGCACGTACCTTGGTTGCAGTTTGTCCCCAGCCCTGGTCGGGTCGTGCGGGAGGCAACCAGTCAATGTGTCTCTCTCATGTCAATGTTTCTTTTCTTTCTCTCTCTCTCTCTCTCTCTCCCCCCTCTCCGCCCTCCCACTCTATCTGATGATAAATAGATAAACATTCTTGGGTGAGGATTAAAAAAATGAAAGAACATACACAACAGCTACAGCTAAACCACCCCTTGGCTCCTCTTCTGCAGGCTGCACCCCGCACTGCCCGCGCCGACCTCGATGTCTCTGACCTCAGACAATAGAATTTCTCCTGCAGGTTCTAACCGCCCTGGGCGGGGAGAAGATTAAAAGGAAAAACTTCTGTAGCCACCAAGTGATTAGGCAACCCTGGTGCAGTCATATCCCAGCCTACTGACACAGAGAAATGTTCTTTGCCTGAAACATTTTTCAAGAATTCCTAGTGCAAAGTCAGTCCAAAGAGCACGTATTAAGTGCTTACCCAGGGCAAGGCGGTTTGATAAGGCCCACGAGGAATAAAGCGTAAACCAGACTCAGCCCCTGTCGCGAGGAGCTCACAGCCCAGAGGGAGAGACAGGACGGGGCGCCGGCAACTGCCATAGGAGGAGAAAGAGCCAGAAGCCGCAGGGCGTGCGGTGAAGGTGTGCGGGAGCCAGAGAGGGGAGAGATTCCTCTGGCTGCTGATATTAAAGTAATTAAACGAGGAAGGGAACATTCCTTCCCCCATGTAAATCTTTCCAGAGAGGCCAAAAAGTCTCTCTAAAATGTTCTTACTGCTGTTGCCAAGCTATTTTGGTATTTTATTTATTGTCAAGGACAAGCCCTCTCTTCAAAGCCCAGGACAAAGGTCATCTTCTCCTTGGTGTCTCCCCCTGGCCCCCCGCTCTCTGTTATAACTCTGCAGACTTTCCTCTATTCCTTTCCAGACACCAAAGGACGACAAGGATCCAGTGGTCTCTGTCCCCGCCACCAAGCCTCCCTCGGGGCCGCCCACACGGCAAGTGCTCAGTGAATATTTGTTAGATAAAATCCTTTTCCAAAATCAATGTCATCGCCACGGGAAACTGCTAAAATAAAAACAGCCGAAACGTGTAAAAACTCTCAAAAAAAAAAAAAACCTTCCATTTTTAGCAGGCTGTTAGAACTCATCCCCCCCCCACCCCCACCCCCCACCCTGCCTCTTGCTTTGTTTCTAATTGTGAATTTGGGGCTAGATGTGGTAGGCAGTCCCCCTTTTAATCTTTAAATATAGTCCTGAATACAATTACATTTTTATGCAGCACCGAAACATCATATCCTGGTAACGGGGCATTCCTGCGCTAGTAACATCTGAGTCAAATCTCCTCCACGTCTGTCTTCCATTGAGGACAGTTAGGAAGTCTGAGATGAAAGTGATCGACATCATTTGTGAATTATGTGTATTTCCTTGTGCTGTATTTCCACGGGTTTTGCTCCCGGTGGTTTTGCGAATACCAGGTTGTCTGGTAGCCGGGCTTTCGCTGAAAACCCCTTTTAAGACGGGAATCCCCGCATCTCAGCCCAGAGGACACACACCACGTTTAGAAGAAGGGTTCGTCTCGGGTTAAAAAGTAAGTGGCATGAAGTAACCCACTTTGCCAAGGAGCCTAATCCGCATGGTAAGTGACCTGAGGACCTGGAGCCCACACGGACAGCTGGGTGGTCTCAAGGGCAGTGGCTCCTCTCGGGCCAGGGTCCCCGCCGAGCCCCTCACCCCGTCACCTCCGGTCCTCCCCACAGGTGCCGGCATTCCCGTGTTGCAGGTGAAAAGCGGAGGGTCAAGCGAGTCCCCGAGGTCCTGCAGTGAGCCAGGAAGCTGAGGTGCCCGCCCCTCCCTGTCAGTGACGTCACCCCTGAGGAAAATGATGTAAAAGGAGCTATGTCGCGGTGGAGTCGGCTGTCATCGCTGGACAGGTTTTCCACGTGCTCCTTGAACTCGGGGATGTGAGAAGTGGGCAAGAGAAGCTTTGATCTGGCCAAACCAACAGTGTCTTCCAAACCGCTGTCTGAGAAGCTGACGGGAAGAGACAAGGACTGAAATCAAGGACAATCCTTTAGAATCAGTAACCAACCGTGTGGAGCTAAAGAATCACTTAGCTTATTAGAGCCGGTAGATATGCCTTCCTTCTCTTCAAGTAATTACTTCCCTTCCCTTTCTCATAAAAACCCCTCGCCTTGCCCGGCCGGTGTGGCTCAGTGGTTGAGCCTGACCCCTGCACCAAGAGGTCGCCGGTTCGATTCCCGGTCAGGGCACATGCCCAGGCTGTGGGCCCGATCCCCAGTGGTGGGCGTGCAGGAGGTCGCCAATCCATGTTCTCTCTCATTGATGTTTTTCTCCCTCTCCCTTCCTCTCTCTCTAAAATCAATAAAGGAAAAAAATAAAATAAAAAATAAATTATTAAAAAAAAAACCCTCGCCTTCACCCCATAATCGGGACATAACTCGGATTTCTGCACCTATGCCCCCGATTGCAACTTTTTTCTTTTTATCTCAAATAAATGCTTGTTGCCTCCACGTTGGCTTTTTATTTTGACATGAACACCACTTGGATCCCATGCCAATTCCAGTCACTGTGCCTCATACCATCGCTTACCCGGGTGGTGTGGGACCTGCAGGGCCCAGGAAGGCCATTCTTGCCACAAGAGAAAGAACACAGGGTGCGGGAAAGCAGGCTCATGCGGTGTGTGTCTGTTTCCTGCAGGCACCCCCTCTGGTAGCCCACTCGCCCCACACTGACATAGGCTCTCTCTTGTCCAGAGGAGAAGGCAACCATCTCAGCAAATGCCAGGCTCAGGGCTGCCCTATGGAAGCTTGCTTCTTGGGGCTCCCTGGCCACCTGGCATTGCCGGCGAGCAACGAGTGTGGCAGGATGCTTCCTGTACCCTGTGGCTGTCCTCCCACAGGGTCCACCCTGGCAAGAGTGCCAGGCCTCAGGGGCCCAAGTAGCAAAGGTCCAATTTCAGATGGTCCCACATATCTGCTCTCCACTCTCTGCCTCCCCAGGGTGTCAGTGGCCCAAAGAAGAAGGGGCTTCCAGAAAGGTCAGGACAGCCGATGTTGAAATCAGAGCACTGACCTGGGCCTAGAGCATCCCAGGATGCTGACCACAGCAAAGTTCCTGTGTTCTGTCCTGTCTGTGAAGGTTCTGGGCTGGTAGCCTCAGAGGAATTTCGGGCTCAGGCGTTCCTTGATGCAGAAGCTTCTTTTGTCTCTGCTTGGGATTATGAACAAAGACCTCTGCTCTGGCTGGGATGACACGTGACACAGAAAAATACACATTTTGCAGGTATGTGAACCAAAGGGTGTGGCAGGCATCTGGTCTCAGAGAGTCCCATACCTCTCGTTAAGTGGGCCCAGGCCTGGCACTACAAGCAATCAGCCTTGGTTCACAACTTGGCTTCTCCTGGGCACCTCCAAACCCAGCACAAGAAGCAGCCATCTGCAGATCATTTTGTAGCTTGTGCCTGGTGGCCCCGGTAGAACACAGACAGAGGCTGACCTTGCCCCAGAGCCAGCACACCCAGTAGACAGCTTCAGACCCTGTCAAAGCACCACCACCAAACCACCTCCACAAATGATACACTCAAGGAGTGAACTCAGTGCGTACCAGAGCCCTGCTGAAGTAAGTCTTGCCCTGTGTGGTGGGCCCTGCACAGCTGATCCTCCAAGGGAGTCAGAGGCCAGTGGTGAGTGGGCACAGCCAGTCCTTGCAGCTGGTCAGCCTGAGTAAATCCCTCCCATTGACGTGCCAACAGCAATCAAGACTCAATTACAACAGAGGGATGTACAGTCCACACTAGGGGTGCACCTCAAGGGCCCAGCTGGGATGATCAGGGAGGCTGTGCCACTGGACCCTACAGGACACCTACTACAACAGGCCACCCTACAAAGCCTAGGAGACATAGCAACTCTACCTAATACATAAAAACAAACACAGTGAAGCAACCTAAGTGAGGAGACAAAAAAACATGTCCCAAGAGAAAGAACAGAACAAAATTCCAGGAAAATAACTAAACAAAATGGAGATAAGCAATCAATCAGATGCAGAGTTCAAAACACTGATTATACGGATGCCCAAGGAACTTAGTGAGACCTTCAAGGAACTTAAGGAGAACTCCAAGGAACTTAGTGAGAACATCAACAACATAAAAAAAAAGACCAGTCAGAAATGAAGGATGCACTCACTGAACTAATTTACAGGGAATCAATAGTAGAGTAGGTGAAGCCAAGAAGCAAACCATCAATTTGGAATATAAGGAAGCAAAAAACACCCAATCAGAATAGCAAAAAGAAAAAAGAATCCAAAAAAAATAAGGATAGTGTAAGGAGCCTCTGGGACAACTTCAAGTGTACCAACATTCACATCATGGGGGTGCCAGAAGGAGAAGAGAAAGAGCAAGAAATTGAAAATCACCCTGGCTGGTTTGGCTCAGTGGTTAGAGTGTCAGCCTGCAGTCCAGAGAGACCTGGGTTCGGTTCCAGCTAAGGGCACATATCTCAGTTGCAGTTTGTCCCTGGCCCTGGTTGGGTCATGCGAGTAGCAGCGACTCGATGTATACCTTTCACGGCGATGTTTCTCTCTATTTCTCTTCCTCTCTCTCCCTCCCACTCTATCTGAACAAAAAAATGAAAAAAATGTCCTCGGGTGAGCATAAAAAAAAAAGAAAGAAATTGAACACCTATTTGAAAAAATAATGACAGAAAAACTTCCCTCACTTGGTGAAGGAAACAGACATACAAGTCCAGGAAGCAGAGAGTCCCAAACAAGATGAACCCAAAGAAGTCCACACCAAGACAAATCATCATCAAAATGCCAAAGGTTAAAGACAAAGAGAGAATCTTAAAAGCAGCAAGAAAAAAGCAGTTTGTTACCTACAAAGAAGCTCCCATAAGACTGTTAGCTGATTTCTCAAAAGAAACTTTGCAGGCAAGAAAGGAGTGGCAAGAGGTATTCAAAGTAATGAAAAGCAATGACCTACAACCAAGATTACTCTATCCTGCAAAGCTATCATTTAGAATCGATGGACATATAAAGAGTTTCCCAGACAAGAAAAAGCTAAAGGAGTTCATCACCACCAAACCAGAAATATATGAAATGTTGCAGGGTCTTCTTAAAAGAGAAGAACAAAAATGTGAACAATAAAATGGCAATAAATACATATCTATCAACAAGTGAATCTGCAAGCAAAATGAGCAAGCAGAACAGACTTACAGACACAGAGAACTTTTTGTTGCTTGCCAAATGGGAGGGGGCTGGGCTGGTGAGTGAAAAATACGAAGAAATTAAGAAGTACAAATTTGTTGTTAAACTGATGAACCTCAAAGGGAAGTGGGGAGGGAGGGCGGGATGAGATAAACCAAAGAACTTCTATGCATATATGCAAAACCAGTGGACACAGACAATAGTGTGAGGAAGGCAGAAAGGGGGTGGTATTGGGGAGGTGGGGGTGAATGGAGGAAAGAAGGGAGGACATCTGTAATACATTCAACAATAAAGATTAGTTTTTAAAAAGGAGGGGTGGGCAGAACCTTAGCCAGGGGCCATGCCCATGGCCAGCACAGCACACTTTCTGAATTGGTGATGTGAGATTACTTGGTTTTTGGTTTCACTGACTGCACTGGAACTTGGCTGCGTGAATGAAGAGAAGAAAAAGGCCACCACACCCCCCAGGGGATCCTGCCATTTGTGAAGGCCAGTAAGGAAGCAGGTGCCAGGAGCAGGGCGGCCCCTGAGAAGCTTAAGAAATGTCTCTGCTAAGGCCGTCTTCGGCTTTGGTGACCCAGCCTGGTGCCCTTCCATTACCAAAGCTGCTCTTAAGAAATAAAGCTCATATCAGTTGTTTACACTTTAGCAAGAATTTCACTGTGTCAGCCCTCTCACAGGGGCATTTTAAGCCAGCTCTGCAGTTGCTAAATGAAAGCATCTGTCTCCAAATAAAGGGATTTCAAGGATCATGAATAAGGGAAAAGATGTTTGGGGGGCTCGGCAAGACCATCTCCAAAGCCCTAAATTCACCAGAACCCTGATCTTGAAATTTGGTTCATGATAAAATCCTATACAATGTAAAATCTCAGTCATCTCTGATCTACCATACAGGTTGGAACCTTCGGACCACTTAACTTTGAATATGGAGTTCCTTAGAATTTCAATTCCCCCGAGATAGGACGTGGTCTCTCTCTGTTGTACCCCAAGCTGAATGAAAGAGTTAACACATACAGGGTCTGGATCAGGGGGTCTCAGACAGCTGTCAAACCACAGAGCCCTGGAGAACTGACGAAGGCTGCCAACCCTGTCCCATCTGGGTTCTCAGACCCCCTGGAGCCCATCTTGGGACTCTGAGAAGTTCGAAGACCCCAGTTTAGAGACCGCTAGTAGATGATTGCACTTTCCATCCAGACTCTACACCCCACCCACACCCCACAAACACCCATGCCCTCCAGGAGAGCAGAGGTCTCTGTCCCAAGCAATTCGGAAACGCACGGCCAAGGTCGGGGTTAAGAACAGGAGGAGTGGGATGGGCCCATGGGGAGCAGGTGCCCAGGAGAGGGAGGAACACGGAGGAGTTGGGAGAGCAATGAAGCTGGGAAGGGCGGACATTGGGGGCACTCCCGGGTCTTACCAGGGGGGCACGCGGTGTCATTGCTTCCCAGCCAGAGTGGCAGACGCTCTGGGAAGGTGTGCAGCCCCCGGTGAGGCAGGAGTGCTCCCCTACAGCCTCTGAAACGGCTCCTTCCAGAAGCAAACTCCCTCCACAGGGGCCCCCCTCCCGTCGGACCAGCCTCTGGACTAAACCCCCCGGTGTCACAGAGCCCAGGTCAGGGGCTGTTGCTCCAATGCAACCAGGAAATATTATTTCACCAGGATATTTTTAGCAGGAAGCGAGCTGGGAGCAAATGTCATGTGAGCCGTCTTCTCTTACACGGCAACTTTGGGCTATTTAAAGAGATGGTAATTACGCTCCTGCCACCATGATCAGGACGTGCTGGATGCGTGATTGCAGGAGCCCCTCATCTGCCGTGCCGAGCACTTTACTCTAATGGGGCCCAATTTTCGAAGCTGCCTGCCTAAATCTGTCCGATCGCACAGGTGGACATTTGAATCGGTACCATCGGGGCAGCAAACTGCTCTTCGGAGCCTGTAGCTGCTCCGAACACTAGTTTCGAAGGTGCTATGCCCTGAGACCCCCCTCGGGGTGCCCTGGCATGGCTGCTGCCCCCCACTGACCTCCTGCCTCTGAAGTTCTTCTTCTGACAGTGGCGGTGGTGGTGGTATTGATGTCCATGTACAACCCCCTCAGGCTGGCATCTTCCAGAGAAGCCACCGGCTCCCTTCAAAGGGGGCAGCAGCCATGGCTGAGAAACAGGACACACTCATCAATAGTCTGGCCCTGGAGATACAGTCACCAGGAGGTCAAGGAGAAGGCAAAGTTGAGGGGACACTCGGGAAGGTGACAGAGCTAAGGGGAGGTTGGCAGGACAAGGAGGCAGGACAGCGTGTCACTTAGGGAGGAAAGCAAACTGGGCAGTTGTACCCCTTACACGTTAGGGGAGCAGAACCCTTGCAGGAGCACTCGGCACACAGTAGGTGCGCTATGTGGCTGAAGGAATGAACGCAGTCACCAGCACAGCCACCCGGACCGCCCAGATGCCACCCAGGCCAGGTGCAACGGGAGCCCTGTCCTCAGTTCCATGTGCCACACTTTAGTGGGACATTGGCAGTTGGGGCCTTGAATACAGGTGGGTGCCTGGATTGGGGGTGGGGGCAGGAAGCGGCCCCCAGACCCTGTCCTAGGAGAACTAGCAGGAGGGATTCAGGAGACCTCAGGAAGGCAAAGCTGACTTCAAACGTTCCGAGGGAAGTGGAGCGGAGAAAGGACCACCTCCTTCCAGGATGCTGCAGAGACAGACCCAGTGCCAGCAGGAGAGTCTGGGGAAAGAGCTTTGCCAGAAAGGCGGCCTTGCGAAGGAATGAGCTCCTTGCCACTGGAAGGACCTCGGAGGCCACCTGCCCAGTCTCCCACCCAGAGCAGGGACGCTCAGGTTTCCACTCAGATGGCCTCATCCTGTCTGGAGGGCACTGGGGGTAGCTTCCAGCTTTGGCTGCCAAGACAAGGGCCCAAGAGAGCTGGCACTGTCCACCCACACTCTCCAGAGGCTTACAGAAGCCCTGCCTCAGACTGTCCCAAGCACCTGCTGGCAGAATTTTCTGGAAAGTTGCTCCTGCCATCCCTGTCCACTGGCGCTTCCCAGGGCTGGGCCAGGGGACCTGCAGAACAAAGAGGAAGCAACCTCTCCTGAGCGGTAAGCAAAGGTGAGTAAACATTTCTGCCCGAGCACATAAGCCTGGCAATTACCCCAGCAGGAGGCCGGCGAGAGAGCTGAGCGGCAGGGTTGTTTGCTCATTAAGACAAGAAAATCATTTATGTTCTGGGACTCGAGTGTCAACAGACCCAGGGAAATGCCGTTGCCTCAGCTGCTGCCCTCGCCCAAGCAAGGGGGCAGCTGGGGTCCCAGGCACAGCTGGCGAGGTACACGGAGGCCATCAGGACCTTGGGGAGCGAAGAGGAAGGAATGAGGATGCCTGTTTGGGGAGAAGACCAGAGGATTGAGCATTTCCCCCTTGCCACCATCAAAACTGTCCCACTGTTCCCATATCCTGTCTGTCTATCCGTCAGTCTGCTGCAGCCTGGCGGAAGGCAGGGGAGCCCCTGGCAGCAGGCTTTAAGGAGGAGAGAAACCATTCTGCATAAAGAAGGGAAGGGAGACGCGATCAAGTGCGCAGCAAAAACACCGTGCCCTTTAAGGCCCCACGCGGAGGCTATATTTAGGGCTGAGGACATTCTGCAGGACCTCGGGCAGCCTTCACTGGGAGCAATCGCTAATCACTGCATTGAGTTTACGGGTGCCCCTGGGCACACTTAACCCAGGGCAATGAATAGTTATTGCACGGCCTCCCGCTCGGGGCCTGTGGGCACACTTAAGCGAGCACGCAGATCGCTGCGAGCGGGCACGGCTCGGGTACACCCTTGGGCACCCTGTGCCTTCAGCGGGAGAGGCAGACTATTAAATATCTATGTGCCCTGTGCCCACGGCTGCATTTAGCCAAGGGCAAGGCCAGTGAAACGGCTTTAATTAAAACTTAATGCAAGTTCAAGGTGCAGATTCGGAAGCAGCGGCTGCAGAAGTCACCAGGAATGAATCAGTCAATTCGATGAGGTGGGGGACTGGGGGGGGGGGGGAGGTGGGCTGGGCAGCAGAGACCGATCTTCTGTCCCGTACGTGCTGCGCACCTCGCTGCGTCTGTGTTCTGGGACGTGGGGCACCGCAGGCTCCCACACCTCCCTTGGTGAAGGATGCTGGGCATCCCGGCTGCAGAGACAGGCCACTGGAGACAAAGCAGGCTCCTGGGCCCCCGCGGATCCTGCTTTTCTCAGCAACTCGGCCCAGTGTCTCCTGACGCCGGCAACGCTGGCCCCCTGGCGGCAGTTCCCAGAATTACAGGCCCAGGGCAGAGGGAGACGCGACCAAGCCGCTAAGGTCAAAGAACCTGGTGGCAAGCTTGGGGATCTGGGGAGCAGGGCCCTGCAATTCTTAGAAGCACCAACACCAGGCATGGTGGTCACTTGTGCCACTAAAAAGGCAAGTGGGTAGAGATATCCCTGCCCACTCAGCCCCTGCTTTTTAAAGTTGGGAAGCAAAGGCATATCAGAAGGGTCTGCCCCTCTGCCCAAGATGGCAGTGAGCCGGATTGGGGCTCCGAGTCATGTCCCTGGGACAACTCCTGTCACAGCACACTTGTATTACAATTCAGACAGGCGGGACTAGAACTAACTGTAAGCTCCTCCTGGGCTAGGGTCCATGTCTTATTCGAACCCGTCTCCCTAGCCCAGCTCAGCAGCTGGCATAGAGTAGGCATTTAATAAATGCTTGTTGAGTGAGCGGTGATTGTCACAGAGGCCTTTCGCTCTACACTCTTCATTTCTCCTTTCCTAGTCTCTCCCTCCCCCCTGTCTCCTCTTCTCTCCTGGGTCCATCTTCCTTGTACCAGGCAGGGGTTGCCCAGGCTAAATTCAGTATTTTCTTTGAGCCACACAATGTTTACAAAGTGAAAGGCAACTTTTTAAAATTAGGAAAGTTTCCATACAATTACGAATTTCTAATTTCTCTTGAAAAGTTTGAAACTCTAGCCAGATGGGGCGAGGGTGGAGTGGGGGCTACCCCTCTGCAGGGCTGGTTCCACAGCCCAGCTCTGCCTGGATCATAGCCAGGTTCTGCCCTTTACCAGCTGAGGGACCTTGGACATGTCTCCTAATCTCTCTCTGCTTAGTTCTCTGATCCGTAGAATGGGGATTATAATAGCACCCACTGCTATTTGCTATTTGCTATTTACCAAGCGATTAGAACAGTGCCCAGTATGGAGTGAGTGGCATGAAAGTGTTTGCTACATGGATGAAGACATGAATAAAATTCTTGACTGCCTCCTTAGTCTGGCACTTGTTTGGGGTTTGGTCCCCGTAGGCAATTGCATTTGTAACCTGCCCCCCATCCAAGTCTTGTTTAGCTCACAGAGGCTTCCCCAGGGCTGGAGAGAAATCAGACGTCAAGGAGCCCACGGGCAGGGAAGGAGCTCACTACTGGGGAGAAGCCTCTGTGTCCTCTTGAATGGAGACACTACACGTAATTGTGTCTGAGGTCCTTTTATGGCTAAAAGTCTATAACCCTTTCCCATTGCCGAGGGCAAGAAGAAGCATTCAAACGAGCACATTTTCTCAACCCCGAGAGAAAGAACACAAGGACACAATTCTGCCGCTTTGGTGACAGTCCCCATCCTCCCATGTCCCCTGGGCCAGCTGCAATGGGAAGTCAAGAACATGAGTTCACAAACCTTTAATGCTTCCCGTTCCTTCCCATGCCTTCTCCTCCCGACTTTCTCAGTCGCCCAGCCAGAGCCCACAGATGTCTGGGGGGGAAGCTGCCCCTCCAGCTGCCACTGCTCTGCCCAGCCACGCCTTGAGGCTCAGGAGCCAAGCCTTCTGGAGAGAAGCCCAACCTGGGATGCGCCCCGCCCCAGGCCCGAGACCGTTACCTGAGTGAGCGTGGGTGGGCGGTGAGTGCGCTCCTGGCCCAGCCTGGACATTAGCACAGGACACTTCATCACGTAGCGGTCGCTCTGCTCCAACCTCTTCACCGCTCTGAAATACTCTGATTTCCAACCTGGAGTTTGCTTTCTAGAGGTAGGGCCAGTGAAAGAGGAAAACCCAGTCACTAGACTGAAATTAGAGGGCAGTGACTATTCACAGAAATACGATTCACACCACTGGTGGGAAGCTGGCGTTCGCAGGGAAGGGGCTGGAAAGGGAGGCGCAGGGGCTCAGAACCTGGGTCCCGCTTCCGGCTCCGGCAGCTCTGCCCCACCAGGGAAGCCCTCCCGGCTGGGGACATCTGTCAGACAGAACAAGAGCTGGTGCTTAAATGTCCCTTGACAAGTGATAAACATGTGCTCACACTGTGTCTTCTTTGCCCCTCACAGATGTCTCATAGGGAGGCTTTCTTATCCCCATTTTACAGATGAGGCAGTTGAGGCTCAGACTGGGTAAATGATGAAGCGAAAGTGTGGAAAGGAAGAGAAAGAGAAGGGAAGGGATAGTTCATGAAATTTCTTTCCCCCGCTGTGGGCCACAACTCCCTCGGGAGAAACTCTGGGCTTGGTCAGGGAAGGGAGGACAAACGGATGAAGGGAAGAGAAAATGGAGGTGAGGAGGAAAAGAGAAGAGAAAGGGAAAGTACCAGGGGTTCGTGGGGCAGCCTGCACCCTCCCAGGAGCCAGGCAGTGAAATGTAAGCAACAAAAGCAGCCCAGGGAGCCACAACCCTCTGGGCCACCCCCAGGCCATCAGCTGCTGCGTAAATCAGGACAGCTCTCTGTCCCTTTAGCCCCCAAAGAGGCATCAGCTCCCCTTCTGAGGGGCCTAAGCCCATCCCATTGAACCCCAGCTCTGAAACCTGCTTCTCTGAGCCTCTCCTGGTTGTGTGAGGCCTAAAGCTCATGCAGTTTGGGGGAAGGGCCTCTTTTAAAAATCTTACTTTTGCTCATTTTACAGCCAAATGGTCCTGTGAGCCCATAAGGGGCCAGAGTGCAAATGAGGGCCCCTGAAGCTTATGCTTCATCAGCTCCAAGGTCAGTCAGCCTCTGCAAATCTGGCAGCACCATTTTTTCACTTCATTAAGCACTTTCTAAGCACCTACTGTGTGCCAGGGCCTAAGGTAAACACTGCACGTGCCCCCCACACAAACAGACACTCCCAGATCTAGCAGGAGGTGGCTGTGTGAACAGATAATGAATCAGGGTGGCAGCTGCAATGGTAGAGGCAGGAACGATGCACAGAGGAGGAGTGATTAAGGATTAGGAAGACTGCCTGGAGGAGGCAGCACCTGAGCTGGGTTAACACACCTAGCGGTAATCTATGCCTGTTAACTCCAAGAGGACAGAACCTGGGTCTCACCCCATCTTCTGTCTCTCTCAGCTCCGTTTCCACAGATGCCTGCCTTGGATCTGTGCTCAGGCTCAGCTCCTTCTGTCTCCCAGAATGGAAGCTTCCCACCAAACATCATCAAGTGTCCCTGTAAGAACTATTCCCAAACCCACCTCCTTCTCCATGAAGCAGGCTGAGCATCAGGCTTGAAAAATAAAGTCACCCTCGGCATCAGGATGCAGACGTAATCACATTTGGCAAAAAAAAAAAAAAAAGGAATCCAGGCAGTCAGGGGGATTGGGGGGCCCTGTAAAGAGAAAGACCAGAAATGGGGGTTGAGCTTGCTGAGGCTACTCATCTGTGAGGTCAGAAATCCCAGACACCTAGCTATAACTGCGGCTGCTGTGCCCAGAAGCCCCTTACCTGGAGGAGATACAAACAGCAGTACCAGGAAAAGGCCGGGTCAGGTGAACACCTGCAGGAAATCCCCTTAGTTCTACCTTCAAAATATACCGAGAACCCCACCCCTTCTCCCTACTCTGGTCCCTGACCTGGGTTTCTGCAGCTGCCTCCTCTCATCTCCTGGCTTTCTCCCTCACCCCTAATTGTCTGTACCCCACACAGCAGGCAGCAGAATTCTTTTCAAAACTAGGGTGGCTCATGTTTTTCCTCTGCTCAAACCTCTCCATTTTTGACTCCTAGGAAAGGCCAAAGTCCTTGCAATTTGCCCCTCACCTCCCTGACCTCTTCTCCCACTTTCTCACCTCCCTCCCTCTGCTCCAACCACACGTGCCTCCCTGCTATTTCTCAAGCATTCCCGGCATGCTCCTGCCTCAGGGCCTTTGCACTGGCTGCACCCCCTGCCTGGAGTTCCCTTTTCTTAGATACCTGCGTGGCTCACTCCCCCACCTCCTCTAGTCTTTATGCAAATGTCCTCTTCTCAGTGAGACCCACCCTCGTATCACCTGTATCCCATCCCCTGCTTACTGTAGCACTTACTACCTGCTAACCTGCTTTCTAATTTACTGCTTTTTATATTTGTTGCTGTGTCTCCCCACTCAAATGTCAGCTCCATGGGGCCAGGAGTGCCTGTTTGACTCATCACTGCCTCCCCAAACGTTGGTTGAACGAGTGAAATAGAAAGGGAGATGATGGATAGTTTTTCTTATCTTTGGGTTTTCTCAAGCTTCCCTAATGATGTGTGACTTTTCTAAAACATGTTTTTAATTTTTTTTAAAAAATTTAAATTACTGTTTATATCCAATATTCTTCTGTATTGTATTGCTTTTGTCATGATTTTTTTAGAAGTCGTTTTATAAAGCGCACAGTCTCCGTTTGCAAATTCTTGCCACAGGAGGTGGAAACGCCATTTCTCTGAAACCGGCCCTGGGAGCCTTTCTGGGGGGGAGTCTCTGCGCTCGCGTCCACCTCTATCTTTAGCAAGAGATCAAGGCCTCGCCTCGGGCAGAGGGAGGCTCCGAAAGGTAGTTGATCACTGGGGAAATAAAGAGTCTAAGCCTGGATGTGCAAATTGACCTGGATCGTTTTAGTTTTGCATTCACGTTTGCACTTTGTAAATATTTGCCTGGCATCCCGCTGCTCACACCTGCTTGCTGTCCCCTCAAGTTCGTGGAAGGCAGCGGGCCCTCGTCGCTCCATCCCCACCTGGCGCTGCTGCTGCTGTCGCCCCGAAATGAAACCGCTCGGCGGAAGCCACAGGTGTCTCTGACAGCGCCTAAAACTAATGGCCTGTGGCTGGCCGCTGTGACTAATTCTCTGATTATTGACTTTATGATTTTACGCTTAAAACTTCTTTATAATAACACACAGAAATGTTTAATGGGCTCTATCCAGAGCCATAAAAATTACTTATTGAACAAGCGTTTTAAAACTATTAATCTATTGTTTTCCATTAATAACGGCTCTCCGAAGAACAGGCGACAGCTTAATGTATCTACAGCATTTCTCTGCGAAAAGTGGCCTTTTAATACATAAACGCTGCTCCCAAGGCATCGCGGGCGGGCTGGCCATCGGGCCGCTGACGTTCCCAGGACAGATTTAGGCCACTCCGGTCCCTGAAGGCGCTTTATGGATTTCCAGACTGAACAGGGGCTCTGGGAGATTCTCCGAGTCTCAGGGGCATCAGAAAGCCCCTCTCCTCGATCTCTTCCTGTGCAGAAGAGACGAGGAGCTCCATCGGCCTGTTCTGCTGTCGGATGGAGAACAGAGGGAGGCGGGCAGTGGTACATCTCTCTACTCTTCTTTCCTCCAGAAGGGTTCCAGGCAGTCACTTGGTGGTACCCACCCCCTTTCCCATGGCTGGAAGGTTTCTGTGATACTACTCCCTAGTTTTGGGGGGTTTTTTTTTGCTATTTTAGGTATGCAATTTCCCCACCAAGCATGAGGTGGCCCCCACTTCCCATGTGTAAGAGTCACGTGTATTTTCCTGGGTGAGTTAGGTTTTGAAGCACATCAGCACCAGATAGACCCTTCTAGGGTTTCGGGCTGTTTGTTCATTCATCAAATACTTACTGAGTGTCTACTATGTACCACGCAGTGTTCTTGGTTCTGGAGAGAGCGTAAAGAACCAGACACTTGTGGGCCTGCCCCCACAGACCTGCCCCCTGTCGGAGAGTGCAGATGACAAGCAGGTGAACAACTGCAGGTCATTTGAAGTAGTGATGAGGCTGAGAAGCAAACTGAAGGAGAGTGCGACTGGGGGTGGGTTGGGACTGCTGTAGACAGAAGTAGCCGTGGAGCAGAGATCTGAGTGACAGGAAGGAATCCCCTGTGAGAAATGGGGGAGGAGCTTTTCAGGCAGGGGAAAGGCAGTGCAAAGGCCCTGGGGGTGAGGTATGCATATGGGCATCTCCTCCTAGGTGGAGGCCCTACCCAGCCAACCACTGTCCCTTCCTGGCAAGTGCAGGGTTCTGCTTAGACACTGCCTCAAACCCTCCATGTGGCTCCTGGGGACACCTAGGGCTATATAGTCTGAGAAGCATTTGGCCTCATCTGTCGAACAAGATGATACTTCTGAGAAGGAACAAAGGACTTCTCCTCCCAGCCCTGATTCAGTGGAATGGTTGAAGAAGGGGCATGTAGGAGACATATGGTCACAACTGAGAGGGACCCTTTACTCCATGCAGAGGTCACAGTTCACAGAATGTCAGAGGAGAAATATCTTAGTGTGGGGCTTCACGAACTACGGTGTGCCTACAAATCACCCGGGGGGCTTTTTAAAATACAAATTCTGCCCCGCTGGTGTGGCTCAATTGATTGAGTGTCATCCCAGGGACTGAGAGGTCTGGGTTCAATTCCTGGTCAGGGCACATGCTCAGGTTGCAGGCTCAATCCCCAGTGGGGGGCGTGCAGGAAGCAGCTGATCGATGTTTCTCTCTCACTTCGATGTTTCCATCTCTCTCTCCCTTCCTTTCTCTCTAAAAAGTCAATAAAAACATATTTTTAAAAATAAATAAATAATACAATAAAATACAGATTCTGATTTAGTAGGTCCAACATGGGGCCTGAGATTCAGCAATTCTAATAAGCTCCCACATGATGCCTTTGAGTAGCCAAGTTCTAGGGGTCTTTAACTCCAGCCACTGTGTTTTACGGGGAAGGCAGGGAGCAATGTGACTTAATGGTTTGAGTGAGTCAGAGCACTTGGGTCTGAATCCCACCTCTGTTCTGTGTGTGTGTGTGTGTGTGTGTGTGTGTGTGTACCTGTTCTTAGTTTCAGTTTCTTTCTGTGAATTGACTTTTGATGGTGGTGGTGGTGATGGTGATGATGGTGGAGATGGTGGTGGTGATGGTGATTGTGGTGATAATGGCAGTGGGATGATGAAGATGATAGTGGTAGTGATGATGGTGATGGTGATGTGATGATGGTGGTGATAGTGGTGGTGGTGGTGGTGATCATAATGGTGATGATGATGTTGATGATGTTGGTGATGGTGGTGATGATGTTGGTGATGGTGGTGATGATGGTGGTGATGGCGGTGACAGTGGTAATGGTGGTGATGGTGGTGATGGTGGTAATGGTGGTGATGGTAGTGGGATGATGAGGATGAGGATGGTGGTGGGATGATGGTGGTGTGGTGATGAGGATGGTGGTAGTGATGATGGTGGTGATGGTGGCAATAGTGGTGGTGGTGATGGCAGTGATGATGATAATAGTGGTAACAAGGATGATGGTGCTGGTGATGATAAAGACTCCACTGGGTAGATGTAAGACTTGAATAAGTTAATGTTCTGTACAGGGTGCTCATCACAGAGATTGGGCCTAAAGATGACAGCTTTGATTATGATGATAATCACTGTCACCCAAAGATTAAAGGACTTGTTTATTATCATAGAGCCCAGGATCAGGTGCCTAAACAACCCCCCCCCCCATCATTTTCCAGCTCTTCACATAGTCAAACTAATTAGAGCATCAGAGAAATCGAATAAACGTTGAAATACACATGACCCTGAATCAATACTGAACTCAATGTCATGTTCCTCTGCTGGTAAAAGAGGGACATCTGACCCCTGGCAGGCCTCAGGGCCGTCACTGTGGACAGCCTCCCATTGTCTGGGAGAGTCTGTGGAGAAAGTGGAGACTGGGCTGAGTACACACAGCAGAGACACACGATAGCCAAGTGCAGCTTAAAGCTATGAACAGGCCCTGCGTCGAAACCTGTTTGTAAGTCCCTTGACTCATGAAAGTGATGGAGGCATGCCAGGGCATCCTCGAAGCTCTGCGGCTCAGCCGAGGACTCCAGGTAGGTGGCATAACCTACGCACGGCCAGAAGTAGGAGGCAGTATGCAGTGTCGCGGGGCCCCCCTCCCCCTCCCCTTGCTCACCCTGCCTCGAATCCAGGCTCCAGAAGGCAACCAAGAAGGACCTTAAAAAGTAAACAAGATCAATGTCAGTCTCTTCTCAGGACTCTTCAGTGGCTCCCTACTGCCCTTGGAATAAAATCCAAAGCCTTCCATAGCTCACGCGACCCTGCCCACCTCTGTCCTCTTCCGTCGCCGTACGCCGGCCACGCCGATCATTTCTCCACCTGTTCCCTCTGCTTGAAGCACTGTTCTCCCTTCTCCACGAGCGGGCTCTGCCTCATCCAGCCGGGCTCGGGCTCAGTGGCAGACCCCCGCCCACCCCCACGTATTCTCTTCCCCGGCCTTGTGTCTGTTTCCTTCCTGGCTCGCATCACACTTGGAAATTACATTTTTCTAAGGGTTCACAAGCTTTCGGTACTCTTCTCCCACTCGGGTGGGGATACGCTCAGATACGCTTGTGCGCCACTCAGGTGAAAATGAGCTCGGGAAGGGCAGGCGCTGTGTCTGCCCGGTTCGCGCTCTGCTCTCAAAGCCCTTCCACAGAGTAGCTGCGCAGTCAATATTTGTCCAGCAAAAGGCTCTGGCTGGATCCCAGCACGCCCGGAGAGGGGGAATGTACTATTTCAAGTACGTGGAGTTTCTGTAACCACACAGGAATAAGAATGTCAAGTGAGGTAGCTGGGCCACAGTTGTAGAGCCTTGTTGCCTATGACTTAGTTCCCCAAACAGAGCCCTGCCCAGGCCTCCCTAAGGGCCTAGAGTTCACAGCGATCTTAAGTTAAATATACTCTAGACAGGACTTTTCTGACAACTGGAGAAACGGGAAGGTGGGAAAGCTTATCTCCTGGGTTAAGTTCTCTCTCGATGGAGACATCAAAGCCGTTCAGAAGAGCACAAGATGCACGGGGCCCCGGAGTCGGGGTTCAGATCCTGGATCCAGCCATGTGACCTGGGACAAGTCACGTAACCACTGCGAGACTCCATTTCCCTTTCTGAGAAATGGGCGCATGCGCAGTAAAGGATTAATCTTACCGACAGAAAGGTTTGGCCCTTGGCCCCCAGGTCCTGGAAGGTGAATTCCAAGCCCTTGGAATTTTTCACATGGTCAGTGTCTCTGTTCACCTGCGGGCCTTGGGTCACATCAGATGGTCTATGCTAACCATGTGATTTGTGGTGAGGGCGCTTGAACTGTGTGGTATCACTTCACACTCTGGAGGGGCTGGAGACTAAGGTCAGCCATGCAGATATCAGTCATGCCTATGTGACTGACCCCAGTAAACACTGGACACCAAGGCTCCAGTGAGCTCCCTGGTGGCAATGCTTTGTATACAGTCATGCGGCGCATGAGCAACGGATCGCACGTACCATGGTGGTTCATTGAGATTACACCGAAGCTGAAAAATTCCGTCACCTAGGGATGTCGGAGCCACTGTACCATCGCAGTGCAATGCACTATCCCTGTGTTTGTGATCATGCTGGTACACGCAAACCTACTGAGCTGCCTGTGTGGCACACACAGTTATGTACAGTACATAATGCTTGACAGTGTTAATAAGTGACTATCTCTTTTACTGATTTGTATATTTACTATACTATACTTTTATTGTTGTTTAAGAATATATTCTTTCTACTTTTTTTATCCTCGCCCAAAGACACCTTTCAATTGATTTTTAGATAGAGTGAAAAGGAGAGAGGGAGGGAGAAAGAGAGGGAGAAAAACATCGATATGAGAGAGACACATCAATTGGCTGCCTCCTGCACGACCCTGACAGGGTCGGGGATCAAACCTGCAACCCAGGTACATGCTCTTGACTGGAATCAAACCTGAGACCCTTCAGTCCATGGGCCAACACTGAGCCACACTGGCCAAGGCCAATCTTTCTACTTATTAAAAAAAAAGTGTGGCCCTGGCCAGTTTGGCTCAGCCGTTAGGGCATCGGCCCGTGGACCAGAGAGTCCCGGGTTTAGTTCCTGCTAAGGGCATGTACCTCGGTTGCAGTTTGTCCCTGGCCCCAGTTGGGGTCGTGCGGGTGGCAGCCAGTCAATGTGTCCCTCTCACATTGATGTTTCTCTCTCTTCCCCCACCTCCCTCCTGCTCTATCTGAAGATAAATGCAAAAATGTCCTCGGGTGAGGATAAAAATAATTTTTTAAAAAAAGTTTGCTATGAAACAGTATGTCATGTTACACCAGCAGCCTCTCTCGATTGCATCATCTTCTCTTGTGCTTGATTTAATCTCCTGTTGTTTTGTGCAGGAACATGCCGTACAGGCTTATAGCCCGGGACACGTAGACTGTGCCACACAGCCTAGGTGGGGAGCAGGCTGTGCCATCTAGGTGTGTGTCAGCACACTCTGTGGTGTTCGCACAGCGACGAAATTGCCCAACCTGCGTTTCTCAGAACTTCCCTGTCGTTAGGCGGCACGTGACTGTGTGTTGCCACTTGTCGTTGCTGGGACAAGTTAGCACCGTTGGCCCGACTCCACTGGGAACGGACAGCCAGGACTTACACCTGGACCTCTCTTGGGCTCTGTCCCGTGCACCCTTCCCGTGGCTGGCTGTAGTCGGCAGTCCCTCCCTGTCATGAACCGTACGCAGGGGTGTGATGGCTCTCGGAGTTCTGTGTCCTTCTAGTGAGTTGCTGAACTGAAGGGTGGTCTTGGAAACCCTTCGACTGGAAGTTGGTGTCAAAAGCAAGAGTGGCCCTGGCTGGTTTGGCTCAGTGGTTGGAGCATCAGCCCACAGACCAGAGAGTCCCGGGTTCGGTTCCCGCTGAGCCCTCAGTTGCAGTTTGTCCCTGGCCCCGGTTGGGGTCATGTGGGTGACAGCTGCTCGATGTGTCTCTCTCACACCGATGTTTCTCTCTCTCTCTTCCTCCCTCTCTCCCTCCCGCTCTATCTGAAGATAAATGCAAAAGTGTCCTTGGGTGAGGATAAAAACGAAAGCAAGAGTGGTCTTGGAACCGCAATGCTAGCACCTCCTTCACGGGGTATCAGGAAGAGGAAATGAGACAACCATGTGAGACCCCAAGCACAGGGCCGGGCCGGGGATACGCGTCCAGCAGGCACGTCCTCGGGTGTCGTCTGCCTGGTGTGGAGACTGGAGCCCGCCTGGCCTGCCAGAGTCCTGGCTCCCTCGCTCCTCACTGCGGCAGCTGAGACGAGCCGGGCCCTCCCCTGGGCCTCGTCTGCACGTCGTGCTGTCACGGGGATAAGCCCCCGGACACAGGTCCCCGATAGCAGGCCCGGCACACGACACACGCTGTGTGCGCTGGTTTTTACTACT